TGTTACACTCTAAAGGTGTGTGTTACACTCTACAGACATGTGGTGCACTCTACAGATGTATGTTACACTTTAAAGGTGTGTGTTACACTCTGAAGTTGTTACACTCTAAAGGTGTGTGTTACACTCTACAGACATGTGGTGCACTCTACAGATGTATGTTACACTTTAAAGGTGTGTGTTACACTCTGAAGTTGTTACACTCTAAAGGTGTGTGTTACACTCTACAGACATGTGGTGCACTCTACAGATGTATGTTACACTTTAAAGGTGTGTGTTACACTCTGAAGTTGTGTTACACTCTAAAGGTGTTTTACACTCTACAGATGTGTGTTACACTTTAAAGGTGTGGTACACTACAGTTGTGTTTTGTCCATCCATGGCTCTCAAAGACTGTAACTGAGCATCTATTTTTATTATGAAATGCAACACTACGGATATATTAACTTTTGCAGAAACCTTGTTTACTTGTATTATTTTCTGAAACGCTGTCAAAATAAAACAATCTTGACACAACATGAAAGATGCATTCAGGGACTGCTGCTGTGTTGTTTTGATTTTCATGCAGACTGAATTACTTATGAGAGATTTACTTGGAGGTAKAAGTCGAAGTGAGCGATAATGTTTTTTGTTCACGTTTGTGTGTCTGTTAGCGAAATATCTCATGAACCACTTGACAAATTTTAACAAAACTTTCCACAAATACATGTTGGTTTACTTCTACAATTGATTAATTTTTGGAGCCAATCCAGTTTAACAGTCAACTGATCATAAAAAAAAATGACTGCATCCAATGAGGTATTAGCTTGTAGTAGCTGAGAGTTTTCACAAAACACGCAATGGGCAGGAAATCCTAAGTTGCATTTTAAATACACATAAAGCTAATTTCAATTATTGGTTAAAATTGAAAGTGAAGATGCAGTGTACGTAAGTGGCAATTGTAGGTTTGTGTAAGTATTTAAAATAGTAAGGAAATGCAACAWTATCCATTTTAAAGGAGATATGCAAAGAAGATAGCAGTTTTCTGCAGTCTCCTGGATGCAYTTGAAGACAATCCAGATAAACTAAATAAATCGACTGCATGATTTGTGGCTGCCACAATAAAGATAAATACCCCCTATGTAAATATAAAAGATAATGTATAAAAGGCAGCTTATTCTATATGTCTCTTAACCTGTTGGATTTAAATCTGCTGGTTTTACAAAAGCGGTCAAGACACGTATTTCATGCGACATCTTATTTTAGCCTTGGACGATGCCAATAAAAAAAACTTACTTTTTTTCCTTTATTTTCATTTCTTTATTTGTTTCTCAGACAGTTACTGTCTAAAAACAGTTTTGTGAAAATATTTGTTTTATTAATACATGCAAAAATAAACCACTATAACCACTTTTTCAAGTTCCCATATGTGTGCAGTTCTCCAGTCAGTMCACTAGATGTCAGTATAGACCAGGGTTCTATTTGTAGGCAAATTTGGTTTCATAATTGTTGAACTTACATAAAGTTATTAGGCAAACACTTCCACTTTTATATGGGGGATTTATCATCAGATGTGATCAAATTATCCATCAGCAGTTTATTTTTATTTATATCTGTAAAATGTGAGAATTCAACATTATTGCTCTAATGTGAATTTTATTATTGCCTGTACCAAAATGGAAAGAATTACCTGCTGTAAAGGGCTTGTACAGAGGGATTTTGTCCTTTTATTTATTTTTAAAGCAAAGGGCAAATCCTATCAGAGCATACAGGCCGTGTAGAGGTTTGTGGGGCAAATGCCTCTTTGTGTGTCCTGACACCAGTGTTGTTGTTGTTGTTGTTTTCTGTAACTTGATTTGACACAGAGACATAATTCTCCTGAACGGTCTGCTGAGCCCATGTGCAGAGTCAAGCTGCGTTTCCCCTCGAGCACCTGAAAGGGAAATTATTTTTTGCTGATTAAATCGTCGTTGCAGCTGGTGAAAAGCAGAAACCTCCCATTTGAGAATTTGTAAACAAAGCTGCGTGGTTGGGTGGAGGTTTCTGRGCCTAAAGGCTGGATGAAATGATGATCTGGTGCCATTTCATGCCTGGTTGAYGGAACCAAATATGCAAACATCTCCCTCAGGGCCCAGCCTTCCATGTCTACAATGTGCTCCAGCCATGCTGAGAGTTGTGAATGACTCTCAGCTACTACCACATCAAACTGTAGATAGACATTTTTTGTTTGTTTCCTAAATTCAGTTAGCTGTTAAAGCCACCTTGAACTGGCCTTGCAAAGAGACAATGAGATATTTTGCTAACAGACAGCAGGCTCCTGATGACATTTTTAAACCAAAATATTGCTCAAAACCTGTGTTAMGGATAAGGTCAAAATGAGTAAAATTGACAGAATTTGAGCCATTTTTGTGTTTTTTTGTGTCATTTAGCTGCGGCAGCCATCTTGAATCCTGTTGCCTCCAAAGATTAATCGGTTGAAAAAGCACATCCAGTCATGACGTCATGCAAGTTTGATCCAGATCCGTTCAGGAGTTCATGAGATATTTTGCTAACAGACACAATCAGGCAAAAACATTATCGTCCGCCCTCTTTTTTTTTTTTTACGGCGGGTGATAACAGAATGCCTTTTCCTCTGCTGGTATTTCTGAATGGCATCAGCCTGGGCCTGCAGAGCGACATGATGTACGGTCTGATGAGGGGAGGGCCCACACGGACCGGATGACACGCCCTTTCCCCGACACAAGTGTGCGTAGCTGTCTGTCCACGCGCTGAAGGCTGCGGACAGCCAGGCGGACACAGCCGGGTGTTCTTCGCTGAAGTCATCCCCCAGCAGCAGTCTGTGAGAGGCGGCCGGCCGGGTGGGTGGAGGCTGAAGGACCCGCCAGCACCAATCGATGTCAACGGTAAGAGGCGAGTTTCTGTCTTCATTTCTTTCCTCTCAGGGTTTTCTTTAAGCGGGCAGAGTTTGTACCTCAGGTTTGTTGAACTAAGTAAGTAAATAAACGAATAAATCAATAAACACTAATGGAGTTTTTCAAAGCAGCGGTGTGTCGTGGCACGCCGCTGCCGGAGCATCATTCATTTCGTTCGGTCGCGAGCCGTGACTGAGCCCCAGCATCCACACGTTCCAGGGCTGGTCTGCACGCGCTAGTATTCACTTTGTGTGTTTAATTAAACGTGGTCTTTATGCCTTGGGACTGCGTGAGCGGGGTTTAGCACGAAGCTGTTGCCGCTTTCGGCAGCAGGGTGGCGGGCAGCGGGACAGCTGGAGGAGCCGCAGTCAGCGCGTGGAGCAGCCGCGCGGCAGTCGTTCGCCGAGAACACAGGAARCGACCACCGTGACTTTCAAAATATAAGTTTTTTTTTCCACAAAAGTGTCAATTGAACGACTTTTARCTAATTTGAATACGTCTTTTAGTATGTTTTACGTGTGCGTGGATAAACAAGTACTTAGCTAGACGCGTGTTTCATAAAACTTTAATTACCGAACTTTCTCCTGGATATTTGAGCACTGCTAGACAACCGTTTTCCTGCCCTGTACGATTTAGATCCAGATAGTATCCCCCYACGAGTTGGTGTAAGCAGTTTTAGTTATCCATTTTTTAAAAATGTGTATTTATCCGTAGGCATTATTTCTTGAAAAACTTTTATTTTGAAAGCAATCACCGGATGTGGAATATTATCGACCGTATTTTGATCAGTAGAAAGCGTCAGCACGGATTTGTAAATCTCAATCTCGTTTTTAATGTTTTGGAGATGTCAAAACGATCAAAACATTGTGTAAACAGGAGCACAGAAAGGGAACACGAGCAGCTGCCGGGTTGTTTTTCTCGGTGGTCTTCTGTTTGAATCCCGAGCTGCTCAGGGGGGCGGACTTGATGGGAAGCCCAGATGACTGTCTCATAAGTCGGCCATRCCACATTTAAAACATGGGTAGCCGCTTAGGTTCATGTCAGGACTTGACTCTTTACTTATTATAATTATTTATTTATTCRTTTATTTTTCAAAGAAACCTCGAACACGTTTCCACTAACAAACATTAGTGGAAATTTAGTAATAAAAAACATTTACATTGTTTCTTCACAGTCAGTCCTGTCCACTAAGAGCTTTTTATTTTGGCTGTTTTGTCACAGTTTTACATAAAAGGAAAGGTGATTTCTTGTTTATATTTTTATATTAAAACCTAATGCTTCCTATTCATCTGCAGCTGGATTTAGTTTTTTATTGTCTCAAAAAGTGTTGCATCGATTTCTAAATCAGGATTATAGAGTGGCTCTAACTATCTGAGCTAATGGCCTATATTTCATTTTCAGATAGCACTCATAAGAGGACTGTCTCTTTCAGCTTCCAGATTCATAATCCAGTCCTGTGCTTCTTGTGTTAGCTACAGCTACATTAGTGCCTGCAAAAAAAAACCATTTTTCTTTCTGTGTCCCCTGCAGCCATGATTCTTGTTTCAACTTAAGTTTTTATTCCTTGTCCTTGTGTAAGCCGTTAAATGCTAAGATGATGTCATCTCTTCAAAGTCAGTGATGTCTATCACAAGTTCACGGTGGGAGTTGCAACTTAGCAAAGCTTCTTGTGGTTTGRTGTGAGGAGCATTGTTCTTTCTCTTTAGAAAAACATACTCTGCATATTTCTACGTCAGTGTCATCACTCAGMAGGGAACTGTGCTCAACACCACCGATGCCTGTGGTTGATATTCTAATCTTGTCCTCTTTAGTCAAATACACACGCAACAGACTTTTCATTTGTTTTTCCATTTGGACCTACACAAATGTATTGTGGTACATTAAACAAGTAACACGCACACACCACACAATCTGTTTCAAAAAGCTATGCAAAAGTTTAATTCTTCTTAGCAAAGCGTACGAGTTMGGATTAAGATTAGGCTAACATTGGGACACTAATTATTTTCCTAATTGTGCATGTATTATATTTTAGATTAGGGATGCACCGATATGAAAATTTCAGCTGATATCGATATCCGATATTATTATTATTGGTGTTATGGTCGATAACCGATATTTACCGATATTATACACACACACATTGTAT